ATATAGATCACTGGCATTAGTATTGTACATGCCTCAATTGATATTGATTGGTGTGCAGACATCTACCTGAGCATAGCTTCTATATCAATTCAAGTGTCTAGGCGCCAACTGCTCAGTCGCCGTCGTTTGTCTCCGCTCATTCATCACACAGTACCTGGCACGTGCGCAACGGAGTGTTCTCAGCAGCAAAGGCGCATCCGCATTATCCTACTCAACAGCCCCACACCACTCACAACACCACTCACAACACCACTCACACACAACAGTGCGACAAAGTGGTATCTGCAATGCCACAACCCAACACACGCTTCTAAGCAGTGCAGCAAACGCACCCGCACGCACCAGTAGCACACACACACACACACACACACGCCACACCATCGCACTCACACGGTCAGAGTCAGCCGCCGAGGGAAACAGTCACAGGCACACTATCTCTAGCACACCCGCAACAGCCGTGCGCAGTGGCGTAGACATAGGTACCCACCCACACACAGGCGCAGGTGCCCTGCCGTGTGTACCTACCACCATCACACGCAGTGTTACCATAGCAGCCAGCACTCCGGAGCAACAGCAGAAGACGGACGCATACGACAGTCGCCTGAAGGCGTTGATTCGTCAGAGAGAAAGCATTGCGGAACGGCGCCAGCGTGCAGCTACCCCTCAGGCGGAGAGTAATCTAAAAATAGATGACAATCTAAAAATAGACACAAGGACCAGTAAACACACGATAGGCGATTCCCATAGGTCACCTGAAGCGGACAGACAGATCACACCAGCGACGGTGCACACGATAGACAATAACCACACGCCACTGCACACAAACGAGACCCCACCCACACACCAACACCAGCAGAAAACACACCCACTAGACTACAGTGCACACCATTTTCCAGTGACAAGCGAAGGAGCACTCACACACGCAAGCACACGCACACGCGAAAGTACAGCAACAGGAGAGACGCCGACACTAGACACAGGACACACGAAAGCAGCTGCGGCTGCTGCGATAACCAGCAAGCGCCAGGGGAATGTCACGCACCTGGTGCGGCAGATAACTCCGTTGCCAGGCAACGTGGTCGTGCCACGTAGTGCCTATTACGTACCCACAATACCCACGGAACACACTCACGCAAAGAGCCGTCCGCACGCGAGAAGTGGTAGTGGACAATTAAACGAGAGCGGCATGATGCCTGAGTACACGCCAGTGGTGGCGACCACAGACGGAGCTGCGCTGGCGAAGGGATCAGAGACATTGCACACACATCTGATGGAGGATGCCATGAAGCAACACACACATACACACACGCACACGCACACACACACGCATGCTAGTTCAGCCAATTCAGGCACACATACAGGCGACACAGCAGAGAAAAGAGAGACGTATATGAACGGAGAGAACTCACAGGGCAATGTGCATAGGGTAGATACACCAACGGATGCAACACACACAACAAACTCAGCCACCGTAACACAAGCGCGCACTAGGGACCTGAGCGCTGCCGATCTGTCGGTGCTGCCAGACACCTCCGTCACACACAAGCACACCAACTCACACACCAACACAGGCAACGCCACGAGCACACACACGTCACAGCACACACCGTACACGCCACGCGACGCACACACACCACAGCACACAGCAATGCCGGGCACACAGCCACTGCGCGTGCATGACCGCTATTTAAGTTCACCGGAACTGGATACGGTGGGGGATGGAGAAGACTTTGAAGGATCAGCAACAGCACAACAACAAGTACCTGGACAACAACTAACAAGACAACAAGTAGCAGGACAACAACTAACAGGGCAACAACTGACAGGACAACAGCTAACAGGACAACAACTGACAGGACAACAACTAACAGGACAACAATTAGAAGGACAACAACTAATAGGACAACAACTAACAGGACAACAATTAGCAGGAGAAGCACGGGCAGAAGTAGAAGACCAGGCACAGGCACACACATCTCAGGAGACACAGACACAGACACAGACACAGACAGATGGGTTACGTGTGAGGGACACAGGGCCATCCAGCGAACAACTGCCACACACGACACCCCCTGCGCACCATCAAGCAGCGGATGTGGGAAACACTAACCCAACCACACCCACACACACCCAACTCACCACACCACACAACACCACCACACACGACACCAACACGAACACCAAACACAACACCAAACACACGACCACACACGACACAAGTACCGTACCTGAGCCAACGGAGGACGAAGGCGCACCCCAACGGATGGTACAGAATGGCACGAGCGGGCCTGTGGGTGCAGCGGAGGAGACACGGGCACACGAGAGCCCTGCGAGTGCGAAAACACAGGACGAACCTGCGAACACAAGCAAAAACACAAGCACAAACACAAACACAACCACAAACACAAGCACAAGCACAAACACAAACACAAACACAACCACAAACACAGACCCCAAAGCACACGGGCGATCGACTTCGGCTGTGTCGTCGTTGTGGGGATGGTTTACAGGCAGCAACATTGCGACGGAGTGGGAGCAGGACAAACCGCAAGAAGAGCAAGACTCACCGCAAAGACCGCAAGAAGAACAGGGTAAACCGCAGAAACCGCAAGAGGGCGAGGGAGAGGAAGGGCAGCAGCACGGGGTTGGTGTACAGGCGCACGCGTCAGGAGCTAAGGAAACACATACACACACACACGACACGAGCACACACACAGATGTACAGGCGGCAGCGTACGAACAGAACAGGACAGAAGGGACATCGGAAACAGCAGCCAACTCAACAGTCACACACAGCCATGCACGAACACACAACGACACACCCACACCCACAGACAACGACACACACACACACGCTGCCACAGACAACACATCCGCTATCTCCTCACCTACAGCACACACACTACAGCCCACCCAATCACCCATGGCACACCAAAGGCCAGCGACAACGGCGCCCAGACGCACCTCTGTGCAGTCACTGATTGTGTCACAGCCAAAGGATGTCACGGCATCACCACCCACCCACCCACACCCACTCACACACACAAGCCCACACGCAAGTGATGACGGCAGCCAGTTCACACGTGTGGGGAAGGGGCAGCAGGGCAGCAAGCAACATGTGCCACGCACAGCCACGTGGACAGGCGGCGACCTCAGCAGAGGAGCGCAGGAGACACGCGAGGGCCAGCGACAGGCCATGGAGAACTCACTCGTCCGCAGGTGTGTGCGTGCATGCACGGCAGCACGTGCGCT